TGCTCTGGCTGGAGCCCCAGTGCCGCAGCAAGGAGCAGGTGCTGGAGCTGGTGGTGCTGGAGCAGTTCCTGGCCATCCTGCCCCCAGAGATGCGGAGCCGGGCGCGGGGTCGTGGTGTGAAGACCTGCGCCGAGGCCGTGGCCCTGGCCGAGGGGTTTCAGCCGGGTCAGGGGGAGGATGAGACGCTGCAGGTGAGAGTGTTTGCAACTCCATGTGCTGGCACAGCGTCCCCTCCCAGCCCCGTCGCTCCCACATCCCGGCTCAGCACTGACATATTTTCCTCGTCCCCAGGTCACAGTGAGGGTGAAGGTCGAGGAGGGGCCCTCTGACGAGATGCAGCCCCCGGGGACACTGCAGGACCCTGGTGATGCCTGGCCGGAGCAGCCAAAGGCCCATCGTGAGGACAGGCCTCTGGAGAACTCAGGACAGAGGGAAACCCCAGGGTCATCATACAAACCTCCTCACATCCCCCTAGAGGAGCCGCTGCCCTCCCAAGACTCAGGTGAGCTTTAGGATGGAGACTTGGATGCCTGAGTGACTGTCCTGCAGCCCCGGGGAGCCACTCACTTGTCTGCCTGAAACAATGACGGGGCTGCAATATTCATAACCACATGACTGGGCTGGGACAGACCTGATCCTTGGGGGTGGGCAGCTCCCGGGCTGAGACCCTGATCTTTCTCCCTGCATGGGTGCAGCATCTAGCACAGAGTTGCTGCATCTTCCTTGGGGCTTCTCGTGCTGCCATAACAACCCGTGATGTGCTTCACATCCCAGCAGGCAGTGCTCACTGCCACTACCTCATGCCCCTGTGAGCTCTCTGTGCCCAGTACGGGGCTGGTGCAGGTGCCATGGAAAATGAGAACTCTGGCTGGTTCAGGTACAGCTAACCCAGGCCTGTGCCCTGCTGCAGACTCCCCTGAACCGGAGCAGACTTGGGAGCTGTCAGCAGATGAAAGCTGCTCAGGCTGGTGGCCCAGACGAGGCTCGATCCCAGGGGCAGGGAAGGGGCGGTGGGTCTCCACTCTCCAGCAGCATGAGCACCGTCCCTCGGTGCAGAAATCTCCCTTCCACAACATGGTGGTGGGGTCAGTGCTCCACAGATCAGCGCTGCTTGTTCTCCTGGTGCCCCTGGAATCATTTCACGGCCCAGGAGCAGACCGACCTTGCATTTCCCCTCCCCTGCCCTTAGCATGTGGATCTGACACAGCCCCAGCATCGCTGGAGCTGCTTTCCCAAGGAGCGATGTCCCTGCAGGCTCCATCGTGGTGCTGTGATCACCTCCCCACACTGGGACAGAGTTACTGGGGCTCATTTCCAGCCTCATGCCTGTGGAGGTGTGTTAGCAAGAGCTGCGGGATTCTGAGTCTTCCTTCTCCCCCCTCCTCCACACACTGAAGCCCCCGTCTCCTCAGTCCCAGGCCAGTGCAGGAGACTTGCAGGGCTTTCCCCGTGCCAGCAGCACCAGGGCTCACGTGTTTCCTCCCTTCCCCCCCCGCAGGTGCTGGGACCCTGCAGAGAGCTG